GTCTAGCGTGGTCCTACTGCCTAGTACAATCTTACCAGCTACAGCAGCCTCAGGCTAGCTCAGTGCCTCAGATAGCAGAGAAAGCCTACTTCCAAAGCTATCTACTAGAACAGATCTGCCGCCGGCGGATAATCTCTAGGGTTTTCGATTCAGAGGCCCTAGAATCATGTGACCCTGCCTGGGCGCAGTGTGATCTCTGTGCTGATCGTCTAGCTACTCAATCGGCAGTAGTAGATAGGGTATACCAAACCCATCGGCAGAATTGGAAGGGTGGTGAGCTACTACCAAGGGCTATTCATTTCTGGATGAACGAGCAGTGTCTTATCTGCTTTATCGCATGGCTAGGTAAGCCTCTACCCTACTACCCTACTACCCTACTACCCTACTACCCTACTACCCTACTACCCTACTACCTATCTATCTACCTATCTATCTATCTATCTATCTATCTATCTATCTATCTATCTTACTAATCTACTATATATATAGGAAGGGAACCTCAAGGGTCTAAGCCAGACCTTAGGCATGCACTTACTGTTTGTCCTCTTTACCAAAGAGTGGATATTCAGCAGTATATACAGCAGCTAGAGGATAGCCTCAACCCTCAGGCAGATAGCTGCTGCTTTAGGTGCTATCTACCTACTAGGCTCTGTAAGGGCCCTCTGCTTACTGATGAGGGTAGATCATGCCTAGCCTCTAGGCTACTACTATGCTTTTGGACCGCCTGCCATCTATCGTTCACTAAGCAGCCAAGCTTAGGTATACCTTATTTTAGTAAGGATTGGTTGCCTAAGGTATGGGAGCCTGAGACCTTCCAAGAGCCTCTTTGGAAATTGGATACTGAGATAGTAGGTGCAGCCTGGGTCTTCTACTGCTTTGCTAGCAGCTACAGAGATCTCCATGGCTATAGTGAGTAGATAGATTTATGTAGTAGGTAGTAGATCAATTTAGGTACAGGTAATTAGCCTAATCTGTTCTTAATGATATACAGTAGCCTAGTAGTCGCCTAGTAGTAGATTATATCCTAATACTAGCGTATCTACCTGCCTACCTGGCTGCTTACCTACCTTATAGCCTATCAACTGGCCTATCAACTGGCCTATCAACTAGCCTATCAACTAGCTATCCTACCTTCTAACCTACTACCTAGCCTACTACTGAATTATATAAGCTAAGATACTATATTACCTAGATAGTGTATCGATCTAGGTAGATCCCCTAGGTATAATAGGCCAGGGCCTAGTTGATATTACATAATAGTATATAACCTTTTTCCTGCAGGAAACCAAGGTAGACAGATATAAACAACTCTCCTTCTCTAAGATTATTGTAAACAGCATATAGGCCTAGCCCTAATTAAACAGTTGTTGCTACAGCTCTACTAGATAGCCTACCTTAGGTACTATATTATAGGATTTAGAATTATACAGCACCCTAGACGTTCAATATCAATCTGCACTTGAATCCCCTTCGAGCCACCTGTATATCGAGATCTACTCAAACCCTAGTATATTTAAGATCCTATAATTATTCAGAATTCTTAATCTCTTCAAGAATTAGTCTGTATATCAACTATCCAATCTGATCTCTACTATCTGATACCCTTACCTAGTTACAGGTCTCTAGCCTGACAACTTAGTAATCATTATAAGCTGGCTGCTTACCTACCTTATAGCCTACCTTCTAGCCTACTATCTGGCCTATCAACTGGTTAATTAACTGGTCTATTAACTGGTTAACCAACCAAGACTACCGCTACTATACTAGAGTAAAATTGATTAGTTATCTTATAGAACATTCTAAAGAACCTACTTAGGCTTATACTGCCTATATAGAGATTACTTATATAATCTCTATATAATAGGCCTATAGCTATATCTCCTATCGAGCTAATACAAAAAGCCCTATTCGAATAGCTTACCTACTTATCTAGTTATAAGCTATCTTACTCTAGACCCTATAAACCCTAGAGTGCCAGATTACTAAGGCTAAACCCTAAGGGCTGAGGGGAGTAGCCGAAAAAGGGTATAGTATACCCGCAGGGCCAGGCCTTGGCATCCCCCATCAAAAAATCTTCTATACAAACTACCCCCCTTAGGGTTAGCCCCTTCTAGCCTAAAATCTACTAATATTTTTTGATAGCCAGATAATTTCAACTATTTTATTAAAAGATCTTCAAGACCCGATCGGAAAATACTAAGATTTAAGGTACTTAGGGGGGGGGGGCAAGATTTAAACCTTAAATTCATGCCCCCCCCCTTGCCAAGACTTTCTTAACTATGTGCCCCCCCCCCCGGGGCATGGCCCGACTATATTTAGGGTGTATCCATCGATGCTGCTATCTAAATACCGATCCAATGCCTGACGCCGGCAACCACGGGGGGGGCATCCCGATATAATCCTCTACCTGCTTCTGTTCTGCCTCGGACGTCTCACTGGCGTACCCCGGTAACCTATCCATCCTGTGGGGTAACATGATGATCGCCTCGCTGGCCTCCCCATTACGGCCCGCACGCCTGCTCTCCTGTGTGTACTCCAATAATGTACGCGGCCGTCTAATGTGGATAATGCTGCGGATGTCGGGGATATCGACCCCTATTCCCAATGCACTGGTGGCCACCACGACGGCCGATGGGGTCTCACAGAACCGCTGTAACACCCCATCTCGATTAATCTGGTCCTTGAAATATGCCTTACATCCAATGGTCTTAGCTATGGCCATCATATGGGGGATGGTATGCCCATAAATAATGACCCGGCTACCCTGGCTGCGGCAGATCCGATTGTGGATAAACGATATCACCGTGGCGGCCTGTATCCACTGGTTGGGGCCGTGGTTGCCGGCCGGAATGTTGGGTTGCTATACACAGTATGCCACATTGATCCGCCGCGTACGGCTACAGAACAAATTGACCTCGCTGGCGGGGACCTTTATCCGCTCCCATATCAACGGCTCGGCGCTAGGCGGTAATGTAGCTGTCAAATATATCATCTGCGTATTGCATCGGGTCAATCGGCCTAACCGCTGCATCATCGGCCGGAACTTGGGGGACTGGTTCAATATGATATGGCACTCGTTGATTACGATGTGATCTAACCGCTGGAATGAAATCTGACGGTTTAAAAACCGCTGGAAATCGGCACCTAATGCGGACTCGGGCGTTACTAATACAATGGCTGCCTTGTCGGGGGGGCGCCGGCTCTCCTACTCCACATATGATATCCTGGCCTTCTGGTATTGCTGCAACATATCGCCCTGTAATGTGATCAACGGGACCACAACTACCGTTAACCTGCCGGCCGTGAATGCGGGCAATATGAAAAATATACTCTTGCCGCCCCTGGTGGGTATCGTGGCTATGATGGGGCTGACCCCGGTCTGGATGGCCTGTATGATGGGACCCTGGTTCCTACGGAACGTGATATTGTCCTTACTTGTTATCTTCTGCATCGTATCTACTATATCGGCTTGCAATATCTGGAACTGCCGCCGATGGTTCTGCTGCTTTGCCTTGCGGTCGAACGGATACGGGTGTTTGTCTATTATCCGCGCTAACCTATCCTCGATATTGGTAAACCCTAAAAACCGATGCTAATCTGTGCTGGATAACCGGAATATCTTGTGGCGGTGGGCGGTGGTCCCTGCTTGCTTGCCGACCTTACGGCCATAAATTATCCCGGCAACGTGGGATGAATGTGCGGCCTGTAAATCGGCGATATGCCCGATAAATCGCTCGGGGTCTATGTCCTCCTTGTCGTCAACGTTGTCCGTTGGGGCTGTAGCACTGCCGTTGTGATGCTGGTTCTGTGGAAATACACTGGACTCCTGTAAATACCGGCGGCTAATGCCAATGGTAATGTTGCGGTACGTGGGGATGTTTAATGATACCCTATGTAATCTAATGCTGGACTCCCGCTTTAATACCTCCTGGAACCGCTCTGATGTCTATTCCCGGCCGGTACGGGGATCGGGGGACTAAATATACGCCTACTGCCGAACGGTCCGGGTCTACTCGGGGTTATTGGGGTGGTCGGTATACCGGACCTGGTGCTGATACTGTTTGAGTTGCTTGACAAACGGTACCACTAACTATAAATACTATATAACTAACTCCCCGACCTTACGTGGTAAATACCGGTGGATGATCTTGGCGTTATTGCTGGTATAAAATGCTTTATGGTACTTGCTGGCCACGGCGACTATACTATCCTCGATAAATACGTTCCGGAATGTACCTGTGGTGTTCTGATGCCGCAAACTCAACAACTCGGGTGCCTGTGCGGGCTGTCTGCTGTAAATGTGGATGGAAACGCTTAATTTCTCCTGGAATTCGACTATACGGTTTATATATTGATTGATGGCGGTTATACTTAATGTGCCTGTGGTGGATGGTACAAACCGCTGGAACTGCGGGTCGGCCTGCCCTAACCGATCGGTTATCTACGTAGCACTGTGAACCGGCTACTGCGTATGACTGTTGTCTAAAAAATACTATCCTGCCTTGCCCTGTGTGGGATTATCGCGCATACGGTCCTACGGGATGACGGGGGCTGCAGCGGGGTTACTGAGCAATAATAACTGTTTGGACAGTATGCGGTGCGTAGCCTCTACTAATCTGTGGATGAACCTCCGGAAATTACCTATAGTAAATGTAATGTCTTTGTACAATAACTTATCCTTACCTATCTACGTAATATGGCCGGGGTGGTGCTGTTGTAGTGGATCTTTAACCCGTATATACGTAAATCTAATATCTACTGTATTGGGCTCTGTGTGCTACGCACTATAAATGAATCGATCTGGCGGGTGACCTACTCGGTAAATATATGCCGGCGGCTATACTGTTCGGGCTGTAAAGATGGAATGGTGCTGGGATTATAGCTGGGTAATGGTAGGGGGAACTGCAGTGGAAACTAGACCTGAAGCCGCTCTAGGGGGATGGTGGGGCCGCTGCTGGCTCTATAAATATATATTCCTCTTCGTCCGACGGGCTATCTACCTAGAAATCGAACTGACTGGTACGGCTGCGTAAATGTGCAATGATGGTGTCGGACTGGGGGTCCAGCAGCGCGGCGTTGTGCAACACTATAAATCGGGTAATTTTGATTATCCAGGATAAAATAGGGGGGGTAACTGTTAGCGTTGCGCTACCTATGCGGGGACTGGCCGAGTACGGCTAATGTATATACTAGTATACACTTATACTTATGAACGGTAATCCGCTGGTGCAACAACTTAATATAAAACTCTATATATATAGTGTAGACCGGGGTCCACTCGGCATCAGTATTACCTCGGGGCCCGGGACTTAGGTTTCCGGCCGGGATGCTAGCCTTAATGGCAGTCTTAGGAGCGGTCTTAGCAGCAGCCTATAATCGGTCCTACGCACGACTCTAGCGATTAGTGAACCGGTATGCGGGGCTGGTCTATTTATGGGGCATCTGCATACGGGCGAAAAACATAATAACCTGCCGCTATAGCTCGATATACTTCTTAATACTGGCCGGGTCTATATATACCTGTAATGGCTTGGCGTTGCTGTGTACGGCCTCGGTGCGTGCGGCGTCGCTCCGGATAGCATTGCTGGCACCTTTGCTAACCTCTTGGCTAATAGCAGCAACCTTGCCTATAGTATCCCACAGCCGACACATAATAGCTTCGGGCCCTGGGGCATCCTTGACCGGGGTCCGGATACACTCCTAGAGCTAACCGGTATCAGTGCCCTCTAGATACTCTGCCCACTACGTACGACAGAGCTATAGGTTGGCTTTATCAACGGCACCGGCTTCGACGGTAGTGTTGGTCTCGCCCTGCTCTGTTATGTATAGCTCCTAGAGCTACTGTACAATACGAGTCGTTACGTCAACGGGTGCGGGGGGGCTTCTTAGGCTGTTGATCGTCCGGTAGCTAGCGAACGTGGATATAATGGGAGCCTTTAGCAGTTACAAAGAACCGCTAGCATATTATATATTGTATATACTCTGCCTAGAGCTCCTAGAGCGTCAGAAGTTTATGCTGGGGCGCCCGGCCATATAGGTTTAAACCTAAGTTATGCTCTAATTTGATATGTTTCCGTATACTGTCTATACTGCGGCAAACATAATTATATATTGCAACAACCGTACACAATAAACTATCGGTATATATGGCCAAGCCAGGAATGGGGTATATAACAGAGTAGGGGAAAACAAGCGCCTGCGGGTCTTGCACGAAGCCCTGCCACGTAGATACGGTATGCTGAATATCCTGTGCTTTAACGGTAGGAATACGGTGGTTAGGATACCGTAAATGGTTTATAATCCTGGTGGGCTGGATTGCATGTTAGCACTTACAACAAGCAATAACTTGATATTCGGGGAGTTGAATAAATAACTGATCAGTAGTAGGTGGTGCTATGGTCGGAGGCTAGAATAATGTGTGAATATATAATCTTCAGCACCACATATATTATAAGTAGCACTAACACTGCGGTTCAACTAGTAAATCAATACTACAGTATAGGGGTATAGTCGCAGTAGTCGCAAACGTGGAAGAATTACTGTCGGTTGAAATAATTACCCCTGAAGGGTTGGACCGTCATAAGCTACGGTGTAGTGAAGTTAATATGATAGATCACATCGGAGTAGTAACACCCCGAAAACCCTACAGAATGGAGATCTCACCCGGGCACACCTCACCAAAAATTTCCGATGAAGTTTGGCCGCACCAAGATAGCACTTCCACTGATCACAGGGTTCCGAAAACTGACAGGATAGTATATCAACTACGGACGAACAACTAGTGAGTTGCTGGGGCATATCGACCCACCCATACCGAAATGGATACGGCGCAAAATCAAACCGAATACGCCGTCCGGACGGGGTGTAGGGCCATACTGAAGCAAACCCTAAGAAAGCGAATGCGCCGCGTTCCGTTTACCCCCATGGGATAGAGTATTATAGCTACTATCAGAAATACTACAAATAGATACTAACAGACCTCGCCCTGAGACCGCCCTATACAGAGGACCTACAGAAGACTATATCTAAAGCAGAAAGAGTACGCTACATACTGGATCTGCCATCTGCTACTGCTAATAAAACCCTTATACAGCCTTGCTATATACGCTTATACAGTTGATTAATTTATGGTCGTTAGCTCTCTAATTAACCGTACAGATCCAGTATTACTAAGCCTACTGCTAGACTTTAGCTTTAAGGTCTATTATATTAATAGCCTAGATCTGCTGTCTGATTATCTGCTTCTGGCTATATCAGATATAAGTAATCTCTTACTGTCTTATAGTAAACTAAAATTCGATAGGGATTATACAGATAGCCCCGGTCTTAGGCCCTAGGCTGGACTCAGAAAGAAGGCCTAGCTTAAAGGTCTTAGCAGTAGGGTTTTACTAAGGTAGTATACTAGAAGGATAGTAGACAGAAGAGACAGTCTTATTAATATAGGTAGCGGGCGGGCTTTGATAGTATTACTAAGAGAGTACTAGATTAGTTAGCTAAGGGCTTAAAGCAGAAGCTTTAGATAAAACCCTAGGACTAGAGATAATTAGAGCAGCTTTATATAGAGCTAGATCCAGATTAGGCTCTGGCTCTAGTATAGTAAGGTTAGGCTATATAATCAGTAAGTATACCTTATACAACTCCTCCCTATCCTAGTATTGTATATAAGTATAGCCATTAAGGTATTAATTAAGCAGTATCCGCCGGCAGACAAGGCTTTTAGGCTTAAGCCACTGCCGTATAATCTCTTCTTCAGTATGATTAGTCTTAGGGGCCTAGATCTAGGATAGCAGGCTAGTTATTGTACGAGGTTAGATTAGAATTACCTTACTTAGAAGCCGGTCTCGTCTAGCTTATCTAGTCTCCTAGGTATAGTTAAGCAGACCCTAGGGCTATCTGATATAGATAATTATACGAATATTAGGGATATCTATACCTATGCCAAGGGTACTTATTACTACTAGCAGAGTATTCAGGGTACAACAGAAGTAATAGAGTACCCCTTCTTTATTAATCTGCTAGGAATAGAAGACATCGTAATTAAGATACTTAGCTAAAAATACGACCTAGGAGACCGTTAATACGTATATAAGTATACGGCCGGACTAAGCGTTACGGTAGCAATACTAAATCAGCCGTATAATTATTAGATCCTATAGCTACTGGTCAGTGCCCTAGCTGTATAGATTAACCTAAAGACAGAAGAACCGATAGGCAATATTCAGGCGCATTGTATAATCAAAGAATATAATTAGAGAACAGAATTAAAGAATAGAATTAAAGAATAGAATCAAAGAATATAATCAGAGAACAGAATTAAAGAACAGAATTAAAGAATAGAATTAAAGAACAGAATTAAAGAATATAATCAGAGAACAGAATTAAAGAACAGAATTAAAGAACAGAATTAAAGAACAGAATTAAAGAACAGAATCAAAGAATATAATTAGAGAACAGAATTAAAGAATAGAATTAAAGAACAGAATTAAAGAATATAATCAGAGAACAGAATTAAAGAACAGAATTAAAGAATATAATTAAAGAATAGTTAACCAAAAGAGTAAAGAAGATTAAAGAAAATTACTAGACTCTATAATCTTCTATAATATATAAGAACCTTCGTTAAACTAAGTTAATATAAATTATAATAATATCTATATCTATATCTTTTAAGTTCTGATTACTCTCTCTATCTTACAATAAATCAACCTAAGACCCCGTACGATCCTACTATAATCGCTCCTAGGAGTAAGAAGCTTTTTTAGGAAGAAAGCCGGATATAAGAGAAGGGTACCTATTGTAAATATACCCTTATACGACTAACTACGGCTGGTAATAAGGCTTTATGATTACTCTGTTATACAGAAATCCAGCGAGAAGTATAGTCTTAGCAGCTATATCCGTTCTACGTACAAATAATAAATAGAGAACTACTAGTAAGAATAAGCTATATAAGTTATCTAACCTCTCTACGCCTGAGATTAAATAAATAGAAGAAGCTAACAAAATCTCTCTTATCTAGCTACGAACTGGTCATCCGGAATATATCTATAGACTTCTGATTATATCTCGGGGTATCCCTATAAATCAGCGTTGTATAGTCTCAGTAAATAATCGCCTATTTAGTCAGCATATTCGTATTCCAGGAATCTTTAATAGGGCTTGCTATAACTATAAATAGAATAGTAAGACAGGTCAATATACGCTTAGAAATACTACTGAACGTCGATATATTTTATTAGATTAGGGTAAAATACCAGAGCCGTCTCTGGTTGAGCAGTTGATTAACTAAGCCTTAGATTTATCTTTAGTAAATTAGTTTAAAATTAAGAAAACTTCGTATGAAAGAATTTCTGATATTTATATATATTAAGATAATCTAGAACCCTTAAGTATTATAGTTATATAATCTATAATAAAATCTAAGATTATCCTTTATATAAGAAGATAGAAAGTAAATACTACTAGATTAATCTAGATTAGGATCTTACTAATACAAGATCTTTGTACGGCTTATATATATAAATATCTTACTTATTTAGGTTAGTAAATAAAGAATCCCTGTACGATTAAAGCAAACAAAAATTATATTCAGAGCTATATAGTCTTTCTTCTGAACAACCCTCTAAAAATATCTACCCTACTATACTAGGTATATAGCACCTATAATCAGTCAAAGCCACTAATATACTTTCTATACTACTAAACTCAAAGAGTCGTACGAACCTATTACGATTATTACCTACAGATCCGAAACTAGAGAGCAGAACGATAAGCAGACGCTTAGCGATTAATCCTAATCTAGATACTAATAACTCCTGTACAAATGTGCTTACAATACTACTAACTCTGCCTAGAGAGAGACTTTATCTTAATCTATCGGTTAAGATTCATACGAATATATTAATTATACAGACTAACAACAATACGGTTACTACCCTTAGTCTACACCCCTAGCGCAGACTTAGAAAATAATACCTAGCCAATATTACAACTATAATCAAATCCGGCCCAAATAATCTAAACTAATAGGATTTTTGATCAGACGAACTCTCAAATTTAAGAAACTCAGATCCGACTATATTTATATTGTAACTAAGTAGTACTGGAAACAGCTATAGTAACAGATCCTACAGAATAGATCTAGTATTGTCAGCTTTGTTACCTATAGGCTATATTAATGTATATACCTCTTAATCTTAATTAATACCGTACGACAGATAAGTAATTAAAGAATAGTAAAAGATACTAAGATTAAAAGTATTAAATTTTCGTACAGATTTAGTTATACTATAAAAGTTTCTTCTCCTTTATACTAAGATTCGGCTAGAATCCTTAGTAGTTCTATTGTACGATAATTCTGTATAAAAGTCTAGATATACTTAGTCCCTACATTATATTTACTGCTTGTATATAATCACAGCTCTGCTATACAAACATTAATGGTTTTCTGTACTAAAGTACAGACCTACGTTGCATATAGGCCCTATTCACTGTTCGTACGAAAGTACAGCTCTACCATACTAAAAACAATGGTTTTCCGTACTAAAGTACAGACCTACTCTGTATATAGGCCCTATTTACTGCTCGTACAAAATTACAGCTCTGCCCTACAAAAAACAATGGTTTTCTGTACTAAAGTACAGACGTACTTT